CTTTTCTCTCTTCATAATTCCTTAATTAATCAAAATATTTACTGAGCACATACTACTTGCAAGATACTTGTCTTCATGTATTGGAGGCTACAATGAAATGATAAGACATACATGTTTGAAAAGATAACTAGCAATACAAAGCAGCATTAGAAGTCCTAAATGAATAAATTGATTATAGATTTAGAGCTGGAAGGCCTCTCGGTGGCCATTTAGTTCACACACACCGCCATTTTCTACATGAGGAAACTGAGGCCCTTAAGTGACTTGCCCAAGATCATACAAGGAGTAAACATCAGAGATGGGATGGTATCCCAGGAATTCAATTCACTATATTTTGGGGGTTTTTGTTGTTGTTTTTCCTAAATATGTCTATTCTTTCTTCCCTCTCTTTAAATTTCTGATTCGGAATTTCATTACAAGAAACTAACTCATCAAGTTAATGGACTAGAAGGAAGAGATAATGATTTGCATGTGTGATTTCTGGTTTTTTACTGAGAATTCACAGATTTACCTTTTGAAGCAGACTCCTGGCAAACAACTGCTGGACTGAGATCTAGCCTACAGAATTTAAAGCCTCTGTCCTCAAATACTTTCAAGTCAATGCCTGAAATTTGAGCACAAAAGAGGTGGGAAGAGGTTCCTTACTGAGAACGGGAGGGAACAAGATTCAATAACTCAAGTACAGGATAGGCCTGCTTTTATGATCTCAAGAGCTCCAGCTTGATTTTTTTTTTTTTGCCTTGTTCAAATTGCTTAATCTTTCAGTGCTGGCTCTGATGAATTTTTCAGAATCTCAGCATTTCAGATGCATCATCTCATTCACTGGTCCTCATAAAATTTCTATGAAATGAGTAGGGAACTATAGTCTTATTGTCTGTTTTGTAGGCTAAATAAGTCGGTGAATGAATGAATGAATGAATGAATGAATGAATGAATGAATGAATAAATAAATAGCTGAATCACAGAAAACCTAAACGATTTATCCAAGTGGCAGAGCCAGGCCAGGAACTAAATAAAGGTTTCTAATTCCCAGGCCAGTCTAATGATTTACCCATTAGACCACTAATTCCCAGGCCTGGTTTTGCTACACCGTCTTCCCCCTTCCACCCTAACTTCCCTTCTCTCTCTCCCAGGAAATCTCTGATTGTCTGAAGTGCAAAACTGTTCAAATACAAAACAAAATATATTCCAATTTTTAAAAATAACAGTAAGTTAGAGTATATGGTATTTTTTAGATGAGAGTGGTGCCCTAGGATCAGACAAATAACCATAACTCCTCAGAGTTTGAACCCCCTGTGATCCCAATGCTCCATATACACAGCAAAAAAAAAAAAAAACCAACCAGAAATCTCAGGTTCAGGTGCAAGTTCCCTTCCTTCCCCTCCCCCAGCCAAAGTATAGCGAGGTCACCATAGGGTATTTTCATTACAATCAGTTTCCCCAAGTTATGGGGCAGCTACTTCATTTCTCCATTAGAGCATCCAGCTGGCAGGCCTCTCCCAAAGCCCAGTGAGGGTGGGAGCTGCTTTCTTTGCTGCTGGTTTGCTCACAAAGCTCTGGGGGCCAGCCTGCCTGTCAGGCCTCGCCTCTCCTAGACCGCCCTTTGTTGATGACAAATCTCAGGAAGGCCTGCTCTCTGCAGCCTGAGACCTCGCTAAGTGCCTATTCAGCTCTACAAGGAGGGGGGAGGCTCGTCTCCAACCGGCATTGAGCACATTTAAAATGGGCACTAGCTCCCCAAGCCAGGAAATTGCTGAGCTGTAGTTCTTCCCCTCGGTCCCCTCAATGATGCCCCCCACCACCACCATCTTCTCTTTCTATAGTGACCCTGCCCATCACGAAGTTCTCTCAGACAATGAGGAGCAGACCCCTCATTGGTGCTATCACAAGTGCCTAAAGTTGTCTGTGTTGAAAATATTTATAATGAAGCCGGGCTCCTGTGAGTCCCGGTGAAGCAGCCAGCAATCCTGCCCTTTTATGCCAGCCTTCTGTGGAGGCCTGAACAATGAGATGCTGGTGTAGCCCTTGAGAAAAGGGTGCCCACTTCTGAGCAAAATGCGAGTCAGTGGCTTTGATGTACCCAGACGTCCCCAGCCATGCAAATGGTGTCTGAGAGCCTGAATTTTGTGGCAGTATTTGGGAACCTAAGGAGTAGTGCTGACTAGGTTTTTGTTTTTTGTGTTTTCCCTTCTGGAATATTTTTAACTCACTTTCCTGGCATTCTTAGAGTTTCTACTCTCTCTGTAAGGGGCCAAGTTCATTTAGTCCATGGTATTTTTATATAACTTTTCACATCTAAGTAATCCTTTCTTTTATAGTCTAGTAGAGTGATTTGGAAGCTAAAATCAACATTGCTTTTAAGACCATTTCATATCAGAGTATATAAAACTGCATCTGCTGCTATTGGCTTCACCGTACTCCTGTCCTCTCCTCCAAGCCCCCTCTCTCTGATGAAAGTGGCGCTCAGAAACAACATTGGAGGATCATTGATTTATATACCTTGGTTTTTTCCAGCAGGAGGCAGTGGTCAGTATATAGTGGATCTGGATTAGGAAGACATGTTATACAAGTCTAGTCATTCACACAGACTCGCTTCTGGCACCTCACTTCTCCAGATAATTTTCTAAGATTATAAATTGCAGAGAAGGTGTCAACCTACGCTTGGTAGAGTTTCCTCATCCCAGAGTTCCTTATTGTGTATCACTGAAATCCATCACAGTGAAATCTACACCCTTTTTCCCCCCATAACATGTCAGATCTAATCTCTAAAACCACCATGTAGGTAGGTGGTCTCCAAAGGTTCCCTAAAACAGTTTGATTATAATAGGTCATTCCTTCTGTACCTTGGAAAACTTGTTTAGACATCCTCTGACATACTGGCTGTGTGTGCCTGGGCAAAGGTACTTATTCTTACAATGCCCCAAGAAACGAAAAACCATGAGGTACAGAGGACATGCCCATTGCACTGCTGTTTGGAGCTCCAATTCTTCAAGTTCCCTACAAAGAAAAAATTCGACCAGTTTCTATATCCTCAAATTTTTTCCAAGACCTAGACTCTCTTAAAAAAATAAGCAAGTTTTCTCAGAGGAATGAAAGAAAAAAAAAATCAAGCTTAAAATAAAAAATACCTATATATTTTCGACCACTATTTCATAACTAAGTATTTACCCCTTGCCATTTACCATTTCTCCTGGAAGCCAATAGGCATAGGAGGGCTCTCCTGTTAAACTGTCTTTAGGGCTGGAGATAAAGGAAAAAAGTTCACTACGTTGCTAACACTTGCTTCTGGAGTCTCCTGCACCCAGGTTGTCTGTATTTTTTAAAGTTTAAAAAAAAAATTAAATGTGCCTCCGCCTATAGTACCGAAAAGCCTTTCACTGAAAGAAAGGATGTTATGTCCATTTAGATTTTCAGGCAGTACTTTTCTAAGAGAAGAGAAGTAAAGAAAGTTATAGCCCTGAAAAAAATGGGGAAGGAGAAGAAGAAAGGAATAATGTGGGTTTTGTATTTCCCTTACAAACAAGCACGGGCAGCAAAGGGGTGCAGTGAGTAGAGCGCCAGGGCTGGAGACAGGAAGACCTGAGTTCAAAGCTAGCCTCAGAACATTTACTAGCTGGGTGATGCTGTTTACCTCAGTTTTCTCCTCTGTAAAATGAGCTGGAGAAGGAAATGGCGAAGCACTCCAGTATCTTTGCCAAGAAAACCGCAAATGGGGTCAGGAAGGGTCAGACATGACTGAAAAAACAACTTAATGAACTTATGTCACCAAACTTCCTTTTACCTTGCCTGAGCAAGCCAGTTTCTCTGAACTTAGGTTTACTTCCTCCATGATTTCTCCCTTAAAATGAAAAATATCAAAAGTCCCTTAAAAAAAAAAAAGCTCACAGGCAGGATACACAGGGTGTCCCAAAAGTACAGTTTCACCTTTAATAGTTTGTAACTGCACTAAGACTTTTGGGACAGACTGTATTGTAACAGGAATGTCACTGATATCCTGAGGAACCTATTCTTTCTCAAACTGACATAATGGGTTGTTGGAATTAATAGGCCATCAATTATATGGATAGGGAATTACTTTAAGCTCCAAGTAAAGTGGTTTGCTACAATATTATGCAAATGTTTTGTTTGTGGAAAATGTATTTTTTCATCATTCGGTTTCCATCTCTTCTTTGTTATGTCTTCCTCCTTTCCTTTTTAAAAATAAGTTTCTGTACTCTTTAGCCTACTGCCCTCTGTAGTTTACACAATCTTATTAAGTAATAGCCTAAAGTTGGTTGTTCTTAGTTTGATTTATTTATCATACATTAACAATGCTCTAAATCCTATGTAAATTATGTTCTTTTTTTTGGCGGGGGAGAATAGGGGAAGCATCCTCAGTTCAGAGAGTAACTGCACCTAGATACATCTTCAATATAACTTGACGCCTGGACACCAAGAGGTGAAGTGACCTTGCCTATGGTCAACACAGCTAGTACGTGTCAGAGTCAAGACCTGAAACCCAGGCCTTCCCAACGCCAAGGCGAACTTTCCAATCACTAGGTCAATCTACCTCTTCAATTTTGTCCTAATGTATCTGTGACTTGAGTGCAAAGTTTGTCCTATATGAAATACAGATGAAGACCTAGTCACCATATTCACAATCAAAATGAGAAAAATCTGACTTACATGATGCCAATGGAAAAACATATATCCCTTTCCCCTTCCTGCCTTCTTCTTCTTCTTCCATCCATTTAAAATAGCAGAAGAAGCAGACAGAGAACAGGGAGAGGACAGGTAACAGAATAAAGACCTCTGCAGAATAACACTTTTGGGCTTAATGAAAAAAATTATTTGAAGAATATCTCAAAGAATAGAGGTCTAATATGGTATATACATACATTACGTGAGAGAAGACAGCGTCGACATTCATTATTAAAGCAGCATGTCATGCAGGCAGGTGGAAGTACTGAGCAGAAATCTAATTATGTTTTTTTTTTCCTTTCCATTGGGTTTGCTTACAGATGATCATTCCAGGATACTTCTGAAATCTGAAAATAGCCATGACAATTCTGACTACATCAATGCAAGTCCCATTGTAAGTATGTAAACTGATCCTAAGCCAACTCTTGCTCTTTCTTCAGGTAGCATTAATATGGCCAGATCACCAGTATTGTTTTAATTTAGAAAAACAGTCAGAGCTGTCTTTCTGAGACACGGTGAGCCAAAAATAATTCTGACCTGCTATAGAAGTGGTTCCTTAAACTTGCAGATGTGGCCTACACAGACCCCATTTAATGGACAGAAACTTCTGGCCTGGTAAAGTGGATTCAAGGTTTTCAGGGGTGGGGCACCCGCAGACTCAAGTCGAAGGGCCACATTTGAGGACCTAGAGGCCCCACCCCAAAACTTTAAACAATAAACTTATTGGACGACGAGATCAGTGAATGGTAGAATACAAGGAAACTATTAAAAAGAACCTGTGAGTCTGGGGCAGGATTCTCCATTTATTCTATTATGAGTCTTTTTTCTGAGTTGCCTACCCTCCTTTCCTTCAGTAGAAAAGAGAGGAAAAGCCTCCAAATGCAAACCCATCACTTTTTTAAATGATTAATGATTCCAGGTTAGATTCAGAATTATGGGTTAGTCCCCTTAGTGGGGGAAGACTTTTTAAGAAAAAGACTGCTTCCTGATTGTGCCCTTATTTAAGGAACCAACACTTAGAATGTAGTGAAAATCTCAAAGATTGTCTATATTGGGGGGAGGTGGGGATGGCCGTGGCCGTTTCTCATAAACCACTTGGCTTATGGCCTCAGTGAATAGGAAGTATTTCTGTCTTCCAGAGATGCCTTACACACCCACTTCTCATGTGGGCCTCATCCTGTTGACTTTTTTGTTTTCCTCTGTGGAATGGGGTTAGACAGATAAGGTTGAAAAGGGGGCTATCTGGCCAATCTTAACTGAACAGGATGGAGGAGGGGAATGGAAGGAGGAAAGAAAAGGGTGAAAAGTCAGACTTCAAGGGGTGATTCAAGCAGATTTTTCAAAATTGAATGTGATGAATATGATTGCAGATGGGAAAAGAGATAAGCTGTTATCTATAAGTAAAGAAACTGCCAAAAGACAGGTTGTTAAGAAGGTGTACTTAGTGGCATTTTAAACTGAAAGTTGAGCTGCGGGAATTTGTTATCTGTATGTCAAGGTAGGGGGAATTTTACTTCCTGTGTTTCCTGCCCCTCCCTTTAAGGATTTTCCTTTAAATTTGGTGTCTCTAGGAAGCAAGGTTACAGGAATCTTTCTGAAGATTACAAAGCTGTGACGGATCAAATGCTCGTGCCAACTCGAGATCATAGGGAGAAGAAAGCAGTTGGCTACTTGAGTTAGAAGGCTGAGATCCTAAGTAGGATGCAATAGGAAGTTACAGGAAGTTTTTATATCTGCCTGGCAAAATTCACTTACGCACTAAATTGTTTTAGAATCAAAACAATACTTCTTTGTTTCTCCAGAGAAGCTTCTAGAACAGAGCCATAAACTCTTTGTAAGGGACTACTTGGTATAGTTGTTAGGTTTTGGCAAAGCCCTCTATTTTCACAGAGTCAAAACTGTGGGGAGAAAGGAGACCCTGTGATCACCAGAAATCTGGACCTATGAAATTGACTAATTGTGTGACCTAGGACAAATGGGGTCTCATCAACAAATAAGGTGCTTGGTCTACATCAGGAGTTCTTAGTTGACACAGTAGAGAGAGCTCTGGGACTAGAGTCAGGAAAAACTGAATTCAAATCTGGCCTTAGACGCTTATGAGCTTTGTGACTCTCAGCCTCTGTCATTCTCACTTTCTTCAGCTGTAATATAGGGATAATAATAGCACCTACATCACAGGGCTGTTGTGAGGACCAAATGAAATTAATATTTATAAAGCTTAATAAATGTTCGTTCCTTTTCTCTTCCTCTCCCTCTTCATAGACCCCTTCTCAGAATAATATTTTTAAATGTATAAAATAAAATACGTTTACAAAGGAAAGCAACTGTATTGAAATAGTTAATTTTTTTTTGCATTAACATGTCTCAGGTTAAGAACCCCTGTTCTAAATGACCTCTGAGAGCTCTTCCTATTCTAAACCTATATTCCTATGTGTTGGCAATTACCATTGTAGAAAACACCCACTCCAGAAGGGGAAAAGCTGATAATCTGCAATTAATATTCTCACAGAGTTGCCTGGGACACTTAAGGATGAGAGATGCCCCTGGTCACCCAGCTAGGATGTATCAGAGGCCTGACCTCAATCAGGTTGTCCTGACTCCAAGGCCAGGCTTCTGTCCACCATTTGCTGCCTGTCTGTTTCACATGGGCCAGAGATTAAATCATATTCCCTGGTTCAGAATAACCACGTGAAGAAAAAAAAACTGTCTTTATGGAATAGTCACATGATTAGTTCTTTAGCCTCCACCCCCTACCCCCACCACGACCACCATGGTTATAAGGGGATTCAGTGCTATTGAGCCTACATGTGTGCTCAATGAGTAGAATCAGATGGGAACAATAATAATAACTGTGGGCCAACAAATTGTGCTAATCTACAGGTCTTATTTAGAGCACTTTGTCTGACACCTGATTAAAATGGGAATCTAAAAAGAAATCAAGTTATGATTGAGTAATTGAATAATTGGAAAAGTTAGTCAGAGATCTGGTCAACTACTTCCCCCCTACCCTCACCCAGATAATTTCTTAAAGGGGAGAAATGAATTGCATAGTTTTGATTGTTTTGCTCCTGGAAAAAATACAATCAAGTTTTGTTTCACTTATGTTTCCAATATTCCCATCTTAGGGACGTTTAATTGGTTTTTCTAGTTAATACGATGGGATACCTTTAGGATTTTTTAAAGTTAGACATGGTTTAACAAAATTGTAGTTCGTGCATTTACCACTCCATCATCTTATTTTAATAATCCCAGTAATGATCAGAATTTCCTAATGGTATTTTGGTTATTAGGCATTGTGATACTGGATTATAACAGGGTATTTTTTTTCATTGTGTCAGCAAGGTGAGTGTTAATAATACAACCAGAATTGTCTGAATTGAAAGAAAAAAGCAGTTTCCTTTTTCCCCCACCTTGGACCCCGAGACATCTCATGAGGATAGAGTAAAAAAAAAATAAATGAATAAAGCAATTATTTTCAAATCTAGAAAGAACTGAATTACATCAATGTATTTGTGACTGAACCATTTCCATTTTATAGAGCCAAGGGCCCAGCTTCCAGATATTTGAGCTGGTCCAGCCTACCTTAAATCTAAATAGCAATGCTATTTGCCAAAGGAAGGCAGCCACCCATGTATGTGCATATACACTTAGGGATGTGTTTGTGTATGGTTTATATGTATATTCTTTCATGTCATACCTATTCTCAATTTTTTGTTAAAATCTAAAGCTGATCTGTTAAGTCCCCTAGGCCAGGGACTGTTGGGAACACAGATGATTCCATAGAATGATTTCATGAATTTTAAAAAATTTCATACTATGAGCAAACATACTGGATTTCTTTCAAATTCTAGGTTGTAAGAATGAGCCAGAGGATACCAACTTTACCTCCTCTCTCTGAAATCACTGAAAGTACAGTGATAATAACTGTGCTACCAGCAATTGAATGAAAAGCTTGCAATTACAGCACAAGGAGACCCTGACTGTGCAGAATAAAACTACGATAATTACATCTGTCATATTTGTACTTAGTCCTCATTAAATTCAGGGAAATCATCCAGTAGTAAATAATGTGCAATCTTTGCTTTTAAATCAGAGGTCATGAAAGTAAATGGGAATCCTGTTTCCCCTCATAGGGTGTCTAAGAGAAAAACCCATCAACTACATTTAAAAACTCAGCTTGCTTATTATTGAAGACACCAGACTGAGAAATGTCATTAATATGACAGTTTGCTCCAACACAGCATACAAATTTTTTTAAACAAGAACAATTCTGAAAATTTTAATGACATTTAAAAATGAAATTACTTCTTCATTCCCTCATTTATTTAGAGAAAAATTGCTTAAAATTTCAATTCCAAAGTCATTTAACAAATTCAAATTGAAACCAGTTCTCGTTAAGGTGGAGAGAAAAGTGATAGGCAACACCTTCTGAGTCTCTTGTAGATTCGTGTTTCACTAAAAGAGGATTTTTTTTCTTCAGAAGAATAGTTATATGCATACATATGACAATGAGATAATAGCATTCTGCAAATCATAAAGTGCTATATAAATGTCAGTTATTGTTACTATCACCATATTCAACTATAGTTCTGTGTGCTAGATGAAGTTGACTTAAGTCCAGTCTGATTTTTTACATACATTTAAGAAACTATTCTCCCTTCTGTGCCTTAAAGGATAATAAAATTATGTTCCTGGGAGGTTGGAAGCAAAGTGTAGGAGGGGAAGAAGCCTATAGAAAAATTAGAGTTTTATTCTTCCCAACGTGTATAAAATTTTAGAATAGGTAGGATCATCCTGAAATGGCCCATTTCACTTTTATCTATTTGTTGTTCAGTCTTGTCTGACTCTTCTTAATCCCATTTGGGGTTTTCTTGGCCAAGATACTGGAGTAGTTTGCCATTTTCTTCTCCAGCTCATTTTACAGTTGAGGAAACTGAGGCAAACAGTGACTTGTCCAGGGTCACCCAGGTAATAAGTGTTTGACGCCAGATTTCAATTCACAAGGATAAAGTCTTCCTGACTGCAGGCCTGGAATACTATCCGCTGTGACACCTAGCTGCCCCTCACTTTTATTTAAGCTATACTTAATAGAAGCTGGTCATTCAGTGTCTACTTGTTTGACATCAGAATTTAAGAATGGTGCTTATTTGTCTTCTCATCTGACATCAGTGAAAAGCTCTTCAATCAGAATAGTATTTTCAGATGATTCAAAGCTTCAGAATCTGAGTCCCACATACTACTGATATCCAGAATATGGAGAAAGGAGAAGTAAGAATTGTTTACAGTGTTGAGAAAATTGTTTCTAAGTCTTCTTCTTAGAGATTCTAGTTTCTCAAGTCAAAATCAAGCAGTGGCAATTTTTGTTTTGTTTTGTTTTTTTAATTGCCATTCTCTAGTTTGAGGCATGGAACCCAATCTTAACAAAACAACACAAAAACTATGCACTTTACAAGAGCTTAAGAATGAGCCTTCCTTGGACTCCATTTGATTTTGCCACATCTTAGGAATTCAAGCCTCCTCATGAGCAAAGGATTCAGCTGAAACAAATGGTTTTCTTTTGGGGGCCAAGGGGAGGGGACTAGTCTTAGTAAAAGCAAAATTATACCCCTTAATTACACTTGGATTGCAATGATCTTTGATCCTCTTTTTGCATGAAATCACAAAGCCACCTTTAAGGATGGTTCACTGTGATACTGGCTTGCCTGCTATGGCAGTGTTACTGTGAAAATTTCCATTATGAGAGAAAATGTTTAATAATTGCACCACTTTGCTTCTCCAAATGCACCAACCTTTTAGTGCTGTGAGAAAGCATGTAAACTTTGAGCTCACAGAAACAAAGTCTTTTCACCTTGTACGGCAAGTTCACTGGTGGAAACTTAGAGCTTGTACAAGCCTGATGTCTCTTTTTTTATTACCAAATTGACATGTATTTCACTGATTTGTTTGCTTATACATGTAGGGGTTATATATAGCCTATGCACTTATATGCTTACCTTGAGCATATTCTAGTTACGATGCTCAACACTCATATGACCTTGGTCAAGTCACCTCTTATTTCTCATCTGAAAAATGAGTGGTTGGATTAGATAACCTATAAGGTCCCTTCTAACTTTATGTCATTGGGTCATTTCAGTCATATTTGACTCTTTGTGACCCCATTTGGGGTTTTCTTGGCCAAGATACTGGAGTGGTTTGCCATTTCCTTCTCCAGCTCATTTTACAGATGAGAAACTAAGGCCAACAGAGCTAAGTGACATACCCAGGGTCACACTGCTAGTAAGGGTTTGAGGCCAGATTTGAACTCATAAAGAAGAGTCTTCCTGACTCCAAGCCCAGTGCTCTATGGTTGATTACATATCTATAAATATAGATACATTTCTCTATATCTCTATATATACACATACATATGAAGAAGGCTTTGCATAAGCACATATATGTATATACATATATTCACACAGATAAACTCAAGGAAGTATTGTTTTAAATGAGAAAGGGAGAAAAGGGATAGGAAAATTTTTCTAACACATGTTAGTATCCAAGAGAATATGCAGAGAAGACAGTTGAGGAGTCACTTTTCCATGCTACTAGAGTGGATAGATTACAAGGCATATATGCTGTGATCTTCAATCAATTACTTTGGTTAGAAATATATATATATATATCTATCTACATATATGTGCATTTGGCATGTGTGTGTATGTATATATATATATGTGTGTATATATATATATGTGTGTGTGTATGTATATATATACATATATATATACACATATTAGTGTTAATGTATTTTCTTTATTCCAAATAGCCTCAAATATGAACCTTTCTAAAAAACACCTAGCAGTTAATGAGACATATTAATTTTAAGTAGTTAAATATTTCCTTTATTTTTATTCAGTTACAGACTAGCTAATAGCATGATAGGAATTTCTGTTGCCTTATAGTTGCTATGAGCAAAAAGTGTTCCTGCCCATAATTGTTTTCTCTACAACAGAATGTGCCTGGAATGTAATAATTGTAATTGTCTTTTGAATTATTGTTAAATGGATGACACATTTCTCCACTCTGTGCTCATTATGATGTTTGCCACATTCCAAATAGCAGCTTTTTGACAGCAGCTGATTAGTGCTAAAATACCAAGAGTGGCCCAGGCCTGATTTACTAGATAGTTGAGCGTTTGGAAGTATTTCTTCTCTGACAGTACTACTTACATCATCATTGATTTTCTTTGCTTTTGTCTTTAACACACAAACAGGTGGTTGGTTAAAAAATATTTTTAAAAAATCACTGTAAAATAAATTATGACCTTTCATAAATGTTGACTTACGTATCCTCCCTATACCATGCCCAACTTTTGCTCTTAATCACATATTTGTTGTTTTGAATGCTGTTGAAAATGTAACTGTGTTGAATATAGCAGCAGTTTAAAATGCCTTGCCTTCCCAGTTGCTTTTGGCAAACAAACCCTTTGACAGGAAGGTGGGGTTTTAATTTTTCTGTACAACTCTTTACAAGGAAGAGGTCAAGGTCCTGGTAAAGAGCTATCACTGCCCGCCCCCCCCCGTCCCCTAACAAGAACATATTTTAAAAATCAAAAACTCTCATTTCTACTGAGGTCTTTCTTTTCCTTTTTTTCCCCTTCTGCAACATTTTAATTGGTACTTTCAATGAAAGTAACATAATTTACCTGTATTGTGCTTGTTGTGGTGAATTTCAACACTAGGTCCAGTTTTAATTATGAATCAGAAAATTAGGAGCATCAAAGGCATTTTTCCTTCCTCACTATCTTTTTTTTTCCCAGCAAGTATCACATTGTTGTTCTGTTAGAATAACTTACATCTGTTCTTTTATGCGCTTTTCCTTTTTCATAGTGCACATAATTATAAGGTGCATTCTTTTATGCTGACAACCATCACCAAGGAAAATGTTGATAGGCTCTGAACAAATTCAGGAGATGCCTGCTAGAAGGAATCTGTCTTGTACTTACCCTTGTTAAAATTTAAACTTAAAGCAACATTTTAAAGTGGTTCTAAAATACCATAACTTAATGCTTAGCATTGCATATGGTGGCACATCTCACATCTGCATTGTTTGGAGTAACAAATCTTTCATCATAATGCTAAAGCCAAGATGGCGCAATACCTTTTCGGTGGGCCCTGAAATCAAGACTGGGGCACTCAAGACAAAGAATAAAAGCATTAAATGAGTCTGACAAGCAAGTAAACAAATAAATGTCTTCACCTGGGAAACTGTAAATCCCACTCACTACACAACTGTACCTTCCACCAGTATAAAATGATGGTTCACCCTTTGAAACCTGTCCAATTTGGTTTGGCTTCTAACACTTTTTCTAGGAGACCATCCAATAATCTGAGAATTCTATCAGAAAGTTTTCTTGAACATTGAGTTTAATATCCTCCCACTCACCCCTCCTCTTTACTAGTTGACTGAGGCTTAGGATTTAAGGAAAAGAAACACACCCTATTGCTCTGAAAACCTTCAATGTAGCACTGTAATCCTATTTGGTTCTCAGGCTTTGTTTCTCACCCTCTTTTTTTTTCTAGTCAGTCTTTGAATTAAATGTTATAATTAAGGTCTTTCAAGCCAAACATCCTCTATTGAGGCTAGCAGGATGCATTTGGACAAATCAACTAGCCAGAAAGCCCACAACTGTATTCTTTTTTTTTTTTGTTTGTTTTTAGTTCCTTGTTCACTGGCATGGTGGAAATAGAATAGGAAATTAGCTACTTGAAGGCTGGGACCACTCTTCTGTCAAGTGCTTATCTCACTGTGGGCTCTTAATATCCCTGGACTCAAGGCTGATGATGACTCAGCTGGCGTGAGCTCCTCTCTGGGAGTAAACAAAAACAACCACCCATATGAGATGGGTTAACACTTTCAGAACAACCAACGAGATGCCAGTTATTAATGAACATTTCCAGGGCCCTGAAGAGCTTATTTCTTTTTTCATGGATGAGTGGCATTTTCTCTTTCTGTTAAGAGTTTACTGTCTCACAATCCCACACTCACTAGTAGTGACAAATGGGCCCATTATTCTTTGTGCCGTGTCTGTGGTAAAGCTGGAGGGTGCTTATGTTGGCAACATAGACGGAATGACTATTATATCGTTTGCATGCTTTTACACAATTTCCCTATAGGGAGGGGCGGAAAGTCCCAGAATGGAATACTAGCTGGGATCCCATTTCCTCCATTTCTACCTGAATGGATGATGTTTTTAGGGTTGTTTTTTAGGAGTAAGAGCTTTGCATTTTCAAATACATGAATTTGTTGACATCTTAGTTATTTGGGCCAGTAAACCTCATTTCTTTGCAGATACTGATCCTGTAACCCCAATTTTAGGTGTAAGTAAAGTATTTCAAACTTAACAGGACCAGTTTCCCACCTACTTGGGAAGAGTGTAAAGAGATAAATTTTTTAGAGATTTTTGTTTGTTTTTTTCCATTTCTGAAACGGTTGAATACTAAAATGACATCGTGAATCAAGAGAATACAATCTAAGTTTTCTTTGCCAATTTCCTTTAAATATGTTTATCTTCTAGTTTCTTAAGAAAAGTCCAAGTAATTTTTATTTATTTATTTATTTGTTTGTTTATTAATCTTGTCTCTCAGATGGATCATGATCCCAGAAATCCTGCATATATTGCTACCCAAGGACCACTTCCAGCTACTGTGGCTGACTTTTGGCAGGTAAGTCTTTTTTTAAGTTAAACCCTTTCTGAAAGTAGAATTTATCAAACTGGTCATCAATAACTACTTCCTTTGGCTTATTAAGTTCACTGGAACACAGCCACAGTTGTGTGGGCCGAGATACCTAATTGACTCTACATGCAACATCCTACATTGGTCATTTCATTTAAAAATTAAAGATGTGAGTTAGCCTGTTTTCAAACTGATTATATTTGAACTTGAGTGTTTCAAAGATGTAAAATTTCCTTTTAATATTTAATGTCCATGTTGCCCTAGGAAGTTAGAGAATTCATATGATTGGATGATAAGAACAGAAGGGGCTTTTGTGCATGAGAAGTAATCCCGGTCCTTTTGCCAACTCACAAATTAAATTTAAGCAAACAGAGTAGAATCTCACTTTAATATGATTTGAAATAAAAAAAAGAATTTCTGTAAACACCACCCAAGTTACTGGAGCACCATAATAATGCTATGATTACTGTGAAGTTGTATCACCTATAACTATATCTTCTGAACAACAACAAAAGGACATTCAATCTGATAAATGGTATTTTATTTGCAAAGTTCTTGCAATAGAATGAGGGCTAGATTTGAAGCCAAGGAAAGACCTTGATTCAAATTTTACCTCCAACATTCTGATCACAACTTCTCTGAAGCTCATTTTCTTAGTTTATAAAATGGGGAAAATAATAGCTTTACAGATTTGTGAGGAGCAAATGAAATAATGTGTATAAAGTGCTCTGTAAACCTTAAAGTGCTACACACACATCAGCTGTGCCTATAGGGCAGAGTAGCTGGGTGGTGCGGTTGATAGAGCACTAGGCTTAGAATCAGGAAGATTCATCTTCCTGAGTTCAAATCTGGCCTCAGACCCTTACTAGCCATGTCACCCTGGGCAAAGCACTTAATCCTGTTTGCCTCAGTTTACTCATCTGTAAAATGAGCTGGATAAGGAAATGGCAAACTGCTCCAGTGTCTTTACCAAGAAATCCCCAAATGGGGTCACAAAGAGTTGGACATGCCTGAAACGACATAATAACAACCCTTAGGGCAAATCTGTACCTAAGGGACAGTTCCATGTCATGAAAAAATATTAGAGAACTTCTATTCTAATTAACTTATCATCCTCACCTAATTTGCTAATTTTAATTTGCAAAAAGGAAGGAAATAACCATTCCCATAGGCTTTTACAAAGCTATATTCTAATATTTTAATGGTTACGTGATCTCATTGATGCAGGCACTCCTTCCACAAGTTCAGATTGCAACCCACCTATTCCTTCTCATTCTGTTCAGTTCTTGATCACGTCCTTCCTTAAATCTTCCATAGGAGGCTGTCCTTGCTAATAGGCTTCTACCTTCTTATATCCACCAGGCATTATCCTTAAGGTCACCTGCAATTTTTATTCCTCCAAGTCTCCTGATATTGAATAAATACCAGGATAATATTTGAGTTGCCCATTATCCTTCTCACTGCATGACTGGCCCATGTCCTCTTCCCATCATACCCATGTCCTAAAGTTAGCCTTATTCAACACACTTTATCTTTTTGAGACATATCTCATTTTTGTCATCTGGTAGCTTAAGAAAAGAAATTTTTGTTGTAGCTTTTCTCTCTCAGTTGGATTGGGACTCAGAAATCTTACATTATGAGTGTAAGTTTTAATTGTGGAGATGTTTTACAGACTTTTTTTTAACCACTTCACACTTTTGTGAAGTCATAATACTCTAACTGCATTTTCTGATTAGCTGAGAGTTATTAATCATTTACACATTGAAACTGCCCAGGGTATGGATAACCCTACCTAGCATGCTTTTCCGTGTGGCAATGGTAGATATTTCAATTATGTGTTTTTAAAAATACATTCCTTTACCAACTATAAATTTCATTTTAATAACTAGACCACAAACTGTAGTATCAACACATATATAAAGTTAAGATTTTCTTTAATAACTTCAATTAAGTCATTAAAGAATATAATCTTTTCTCCAACCTCAGGCAGGTACATTGCAGAAGACTTCGGCAATTCTCTTATTAATAAGCATTTAAGTTACGAAATTTGAAGATATAAGTGGTTAAAAAAAAAAGGCCCTGGGACAATTGAAAAGTACCCTGCTTGGGTTCATAACTTCCTTATCCCTGCTTTGTGCAGATAGGCGAAGCTGTGGATAGTGTTGGACTTGGGGAGAGGAAATCCTCAGTTTCAGTGCAGCCTCAGCCCCTACCAGCTATGTGACCCTAGGCAAGTCACTTAACTTCTAAGAGTAAAATGGGGATAATAATAGCACCTACCTCCCAAGGATTGTTGCAATGATAAAATGACATAATACTTGTAAAGCTCATTGCAAACCTTAAGTGCTATATAAATGGTATTATTATAGTCCTTGACCTTCATTATTTGCATGGATCCAGAAACTCATCAGAGTATCAGACTATGTACTCCCTCCACTGGCACAAGCCACAACAGGCCCAAATGGCCTATGAAATAATTTCTAATGCTGAGATTCTATAATTCATCCCATGTCCTTCCATAAACCATTCTTGGTCATCTATCCAATAGATCCTTCCTGTGGGCCTTTAAATAGTTGCTGGTTACTGGTACAAGTCTTGGACTGTGTGACTCTTACTACTTGACTGGCCCATCTCCTTTTCTGGTCACAGGCCCTCATGATGGCTTTCCATCTCGCCAAAAGCGGTCCTTGCTGATATGCTTTGGCCTGCTCATATCCACTAGGCATCATCCTTGAGATCACCTGCAATTGTTATTCTTTTGATACCTAAGAAACTGAATCTGATGGAACAAAAAAATTACATGTATTAAAACGACTTCTGAAGCAGTTTTCTTTTGTCTTAAGCATGATTATAGGGATGAAGATCTTCTGAACAGTTTACATCACTCCTAGCTGCTTCTGAGCATTCCAGTTGTCTGAAGGGTCTTGTTACCCTCCTGCTCTATAGAGGGGGTAAAGGAATTTAGAGTCAAAAGCCATTTTGAAGTGGGACGTGTCAAAAAAAGTAGGAGTGTCCAAGGTAGATGACAAAGAGAGGCAGGGAGATCAACTGGGAGGCTATTGTAATAGGTAATGAGGCCCTAGATTGGTAGAGATATAATGAAAATATGAGTTTCAGAGACATTTTGAAGGAGGGATCCAACAGAACTTATTGACAGTTTAGCTTCCTTTAACCTTCAGCAAGAAACCTTTCCCAATCCTCCATAATCTTAGTGCCCACCCTCTGAGAGTAACCCCAATTTATCTTCTATATATCTTATTTGAACAGAGTTTTCTGCATGTCATCTCCCCCATTAAACTATGAGCTTCTTGAGAACAAAGACCATTTTTTTTTGCCTTTCTTTGTATCTGAAGGGCTTAATAATGCCTGGCACAAAGCAGCCACTTAATAAAATTACTAGGGCAGCTAGGTGGCACAGTGAATAGAGTACTGGGCCTAGAGTCAGGAAGACCTGAGTTCAAATCTAGCCTCATTCATTTACTAGCTCTGCGACCCTGGGTAAGTCACTTAACGCTGCTTGCCTCAGTTTCCTCATCTCTGAGATGAGCTGGAGAAGGAAATAGCAAACCACTCATAATGGGGTCACAAAGAGTCAGACATGACTGAAACGATTGAACAACAAAAAAATAAGATGACTGACTAATGGATATAGATGATGAGAGAAAAGCAGCTCTTACAGTCTAGCCTGGAAAAAATGGTGTTATCAGTGATGGAAAAGGGATGAGACCAATCAAAGAAAAATTCTAGGAGCTTGATTGAAGGAGGTTTCTCCCCTCTTTGTGTGGGCTGTTGTTTCTGGCCATCCTTTATTCTCAAAGCCATATCATGAAGGTGATATTTTGACTTGTGCGTGAATCAGATTTAAATGAGGCATTTAGATTTATTCTAGTACAGGCGGTTCTGGTACGATTTATAGTAGAAAGACCCCTAGCCTGGAAGCCAGAATACCTGAGTTCAAATAGAGGGTCTAGTCCAGTGATGGGGACCCTGGATTTGGTCAAAGGGCAGCACTTGAGGACCTAGAGGGCCACATGTGACCACAAGGCTACAGGTTCCCCACTCCTGCTCTAGTCCTTAATAACTGGATGACCTTGGGAAAACAACCCTCTAAGCCTAAATTTCCATTTCTATAAAATAATGATATCTAAGACCCCCTAACCAGGTTGTACTGAGGAAAGCACTTTATAAACTTTAAAGGACAATGTAAATGTTAGTTATTATTATATCCACAGAATAAATTTCTTGAGCAAGGTATTTTTGCTTCCGTTGTCCCTCTGTCTCCCTGCAGAATACAATGTAGAATCTATACTAGCTGCTGAATTGAATTGAAACAGAATATATGAAAATAAGTATATTAGGGGTTAATTGCTCCATAAAGTAATTCGGTTCCCTATTAAACAATTCCTTTCATGAGCACTCCAGTAGTTTAAAAAATAAGTTGATTTATAAAAAATTTATTTATATGCCATTTTTGAAGAATACATCTATTACCCAAAGTTAGGCACACATGGGTTTTGTGTTTCTTATGAACTCCTATCAGTCATTCAGTAACACACCTAGAATGCCTTACTGCATTTAACCAGAATGAATGTTGTCCTACTTTTGAGTTCAGAAATCACTTATGTCAGGGCAGCTAGGTGACACAGAGGATAGAGCACTGGCCCTGAAGTCAGGAGGACCTGAGTTCAAATCTGACCTCAGACCAAACACTTGACACTTACTAGCTGTGTGACCCTGGGAAAGTCACTTAACCTCAATTGCCTAAAAAGAAAAACCACTTATATTAGTAAATAATGTGTGGAAGTTGTTCATTTAAAAAAAGATCTGAGGCTTTTAGTCGACCACAAACTTAATGTGAGCTTAGTTTGACATTTGATGGAATATTGGGGTATTAATATATTGGATATCTTAGAGATATCTTAGAGCATGGGATGTCATACTGACTCTACCCTTGACTGGTTATATAATGTCCAATTCTGAATACTACA